TCTATACAACTCATTATTATTCTACACTCCCTCCTTATTATTCTACATCACTAATTATTCTACACTCATCCTTTTTCTATACAACTCATTATTATTCTACACTGCTTCCTTATTATTCTACATCACTAATTATTCTACACTCATCCTTTTTCTATACAACTCATTATTATTCTACACTCCCTCCTTATTATTCTACATCACTAATTATTCTATACCTCTAATTATTCTATACCACTCATTATTCTACACTGCTTCCTTATTATTCTACATCACTAATTATTCTACACTCATCCTTTTTCTATACAACTCATTATTATTCTACACTGCTTCCTTATTATTCTACATCACTAATTATTCTACACTCATCCTTTTTCTATACAACTCATTATTATTCTACACTCCCTCCTTATTACTCTACATCAGTAATTATTCTTTACCTCTAATTATTCTATACCACTCATTATTCTATACCACTCATTATTCTACACTCCTTAATATTCTACATCACTCATTGTCTTCAAATCTTGTGTGATTCCAGTACTAACCTATGGGTGCGAGAGCTGGAAATCAACAAAAACTCTAGACACAAAATTAGGCAGTTTTGAAAATAAATGCCTTAGAAGAATACTAAATTTCAAATGGTCAGATTTCCGAACCAATACACAAATAAGGCAAGAATCCAGGCAAGAGTGTGTGTCTAATTTTATACGAAAACGTCGCTGGAACTATGGGCCACGCCCTTAGAATGGATAAATCAAGACTTCCTTGTCAAGCACTCATTTGGACACCACAGGGGAAAAGATCTCGTGGAAGACCAAGGGTAACCCTACGTAGAACAATCATCAGGGAAGGCTCGCTCATGGGCCACTCAAACATCCAAGACCTACAACAGATTGCAACGAACCGCCATGCATGGAGAGTCATGACCTCTGCCCTATGTGCCGCACTCGACACAAGAGGAAAGACTAACTCATTGTTTTATACCACTCATTATTTTACACCACTTATTATTCTAGACAACTCATTATTCTACACCACTCATTATTCAATACCTCTAATTATTATACAACACTCATTATTCTACACCAATCATTATTCTACACTCCCTAATATTTGACACCACTCATTATTCTACGCTCCCTAATATTCTACACTCCTTAATATTCTACATCACTCATTGTTTTATACCACTCATTGTTTTACACCACTCATTGTTCTACATCACTCATTATTCTACACCGCTCATTATTCTACACCGCTCATTATTCTATACCTCTAATTATTTTATACCACTCATTATTCTATACCTCTAATTATTTTATACCACTCATTATTCTACACCAGTCTTTATTCTACACTCCTTAATATTCAACACCACTCATTATTCTACACTCCTTAATATCCTATACTCCTTAATATTATACACCACACATGTTCTACTCCACTCAATATTTTACGCAACTCATTATTCTACACCACTCATTATTCAATACCTTTTATTATTCTATACCTCTTATTATTCTATACCTCTTATTATTCTATACCTCTAATTATTCTATAGCTCTAATTATTTTATACCACTTATTATTCTACACCATTCATTATTCTACACCACTCATTATTCTACACCACTCATCATTCTACACCACTCATTATTCTACACCATTCATTATTCTACACCACTCATTATTCTACACCACTCATTATTCTACACCACTCATTATTCTACACCATTCATCATTCTACACCACTCATTATTCTTCATCACCCATCATTCTATACCTCTAATTATTCAACACCACACCGCTATTTCTACCCGGCCTTATTTGGCTGTCTTTCACCTCATTTAATTTCGTCTTTCTCTTGTACCTAGTGATGTCAAGGTGACAGAGAGAGTAAGGGCTGAAATTTTTTCACCTAGACTTGGACATCTAGTAATTCCCCCTGGTCTCTAGGTAACAATATTGGACTCCCGTGTGCATTGTTGCGTATGTAAAAAAAATCCCCTGGCAGTTGGAAATCGAAAAGATGAAAAGAGTAGCCTAATGGCGCTGCCCGGGCAAAATTAGTAGTTAAAAAATTTGCCCAAAGTATTTCAGAACCCTCGCTGGTGCTACAGAGCTGGTGCACTGTGCTGAGCTTTTTCGGACTCATACATGAGTTAGAATAAGAAGGGAGCACTTATGGGTTACTACACATGTTCCATGATGTTGATCCATTGTTTAAAACCTCAAACTATATATTTGACTCTCCATCTTACAGTGGAATATCATCATATTGGATTAATATTTGCCTGGTTTATTCTCATTATCATATTACTGTTATGGATATTGAATCTCTCATCAAGTGTATATAATTTATCTTGCATCTGAGCATTGATTGATCTCTACTAGTGTAGCTCCAGCAGCATGTGTCATCTGTGCCATGTCACACAGGGTCCTTCACTTGATCTTTTAATGCAGATCAGGATCATCTCAACGTTTAAAAAAAAAGATAAAAGATACATAGTTTTCTGAGAATTGTCCTGAAAGGCACACCAAAAAAGTAAAGGAACTGGACAGACTAACTTTAATATCATGACCTAGCTTCACAACACAGTAAGTAACAGTCAAGTTCACTTAAAGGAACAATAATTTCACTCAAGACATCCTTATAAGTGTTTTGTCCCCATCTTTCAAATCCATCTCAGTGTTTGCATTCCCTTGGTACCATTAGCAATCTGATTGTTTGTTTGTCTGATCTTTCCTGAAGTATTTAATGTAGGCCAGATCCTCTGGTTATTTCACACTGCACCAATCTTTTCAGACTATGATCTCATTGTGCCTTGATAATATCTAGATTGTTTTGAAGGAATTTATCACTAAAGACGCTAACTGCTTGGGACTTTTGAAGCAATGTTTCCATACTGCACTAAGTAGACCTGTCTCCGCCTTTCTCAACAACATACTTGTGGCTCTGGCAGTAACAGAATTACAGGACTACCATCACTCTGTACTGAACTGTAAACATCGTTCCTCCTTGCTGTCGGGGCTCATTCTGACATAACTCTTGCAGCCAATGACATACAAATAAGCTGATAATGAGGGCTGTTGATTTGCTAAGTTCATTAGCTGGCCAGGGAATGTGAGCAATGGAATCTGTTAAGTTTGTGTGATGCTTGCTTATGTGAAGTTGAGTTTGAAATGTATTGCTGCTAGTATTTTAGTGAGTGATTATCACAGTGCCACTGCAGCTTAGTGAATAGGTGAACTTTCTGTGGATGTTGTGTTAGAAAATGAGGTTGCTTCAGTTTTGTTTTCTTGTGGAGTGAAGACAGAAAGTTCCTGTCTTGGGATTGTTAAATGTATTTTTGTAACTTAAGAAATATATATTTAAGAAAGACGTGGTGGCTTAGTTATTAGCATATTTGCCCTCTAGGGCAGTGGTATGGTTCCAGCCCTTGAGTTTAAAATACATCTTATTTGCACAGTCTAGGGTGACTGTGAGACCTTAAGCTCTCATGCTAAAAATAATCCTTTACCCTATTGCCAACTGCCAGCTACTGTCTGTATTTACCACTTGTGTGTGTCTTTGAGCCAAAGGATCTAGGATCCCGGGTTTAGTGCTGTCACCATGGACTGCAGGTTAGAATTATTGTTTATTGCCCCCAACAGAGAAAAAACACACCCATGACTTTTTTTTTTGAGGACTTTAACCTTGGTTTGACACATTAAAACCCAGCATTCTTAAACATTTGGCCAGCCACTCCTACATCCACTCTGCACTAAAATGTAGTATAACAAGGGTAGTAAAAGAAACCATATACAAATATTTTATTTTAATATTTTGTATTAGTTGTGTATTCTTTACAGACCGTCTTACCTTTGTTAGTGGTACTGAGAGCTGACCGTTTAGACAGCAGTGGCAAACTACTGAAGTTAAAATTTGCACAGAAAAGCCACATCAGTAAAAAAAAAATGCTTGGTTTGGTTCTGCAACGTCCTGTAAAGGATATATGTCCCCCTCGAGTATGGGGCAAGGCACCCCCCCCCCCCCCCCTCCCCCCACGCCCCGGCCCCATAACAAAATGGGATTAAAAAAGAGGACCCAGAAAAATCCTCAAGAACTTAAGAAAAAAACATACACATAAATCAAACTGTCAAATAACAAAAGAAAAACTCATAAGCAACAGGTAATTTAGTGTCCATATATCAGTGTGATGGTTGACACTGTTTTTGACTGATTGTATCTGCTATTGTTGGTCTGACATTGGACCAGTGACAACGGAGGTAACTCTCTACATCAAGGTGGCAGCGCTGTTTTGTTTTCCTGACTGCTAAAGCTGAAAATCCCAACTATTACAAGTACAAATGTGCTAAATTTCAAAATTACTTGATGCTCCCTTGAAACTTGCTCATATCCCACCCCCCTCCTCCCCACATTGGAGACCACTGCTGTACAGGATGCTGCAGACCCTGTCGAGCATTTCACTGTTTATTATTTGACTAGACAGTTTTACTTTTCAGTTTGCCTCTGCTGCATGGACAGTTGAAAAGCTCCAAACCATTGTGGAAATCAATGCGTAAAGGTCTGCGGCCAAATCAGCTGCAGTCGCATTGAGCAAGCAAAATATTTCGGAAATATTAACTGCAATAGTAACCTCTAAGCCACAGAGGCTTATTTGTGTATTTCCCCAAATATTCTTGCACTTTATTTTGTTGACATAAAATTGTGTTATTGAGTCAAAATGTTAAAAAATATTTGTTCAATAAATTTTAATGTTCTCTTCTGCTTATTTTTGTTTTTCAGAGTAGCACTGAAGCAGAAATTTAATTTCTGAAGAAGCTGCGGGCAGTTGTGAGCATATTAGTATTCACTTCAATAAAGGACATTAGTTTACATGAAATACTGACATTTTCTCCTGCGAGAAAGTCACAATCAAGAGTAGTTAAGGAATTTGATGTAGGTTGTCTTGGAGTTCTCCAGAATAATTACATTCAGTGTTGTATCTGAGCGACACAATGGGCAAAGGAGGCCAGGGAGAAACCAACGGAGTGGAAGTGAAGAGACAGCTGCCAGAATATACCTGGGAGGACATCCAGGATAAGACCACAAATGATAACAAATGGTTGGTCATCGAGGGCCAGGTTTACAACATCACTAGCTGGTCCAGACGTCATCCTGGAGGCCCAAAGGTCATAGGGCATTATGCTGGGCAAGATGCTACGGTCAGTATTGTTTGTGGTGTTACTGCTTTATAAGGACCATTGAACTCTTTATAGTGACCATTGAACTCTTTATAGTGGCCATTGAACTCTTTATAATGTTCATTGGGCTCTTTATAATGTTCATTGGACTCTTTATAATGAGCATTGGACTCTTTATAATGTTCATTGAACTCTTTATAATGTTCATTGGACTCTTTATAATGACCATAGAACTCTTTATAGTTAACATTGAACTCTTTATAATAATCATTGAACTCTTTATAGTGACCATTGCACTCCTCATAGTCACAATTGAACTCTTTATAGTGACCATTAAACTCTTTACAATGACCATTGAACTCTTTACAATGACCATTGAACACTTTATAATGACCATATAAATCTTTACAATAACCATTGAACTCTTGTCTGCTCCTCTTTTTTGGTCCATGCTGATGATGTGCTTGTGCAACAATCTGTATGTTCTTTGTCAATCTTTGTGTAGGTACAGCTCACCATCACAGATGCAGACTAGCAATCTGTCTTTTCATTTGCTATCACACCTACATACCCTAGAGAAAATATATGAAGGATGCTAACTACCTGGAACCTCTAAAGTGATGGTTGCCACTCTGCACAGAATATACTTTCTACCTTTCTCAGCAGGTCTTTTGTGAAACTGCTAAGTAATTTCTTGCATGCACCTGTTTGTCAAGAATTACATGCTCATCCATGTTTCCCTATCAACAATTATATGTTCGTTCATTGGTTCTCAGTCGAACCTTGGTGTGTATCAATATTCTTCTTTCGTTCACTTGAAATAGATTATCTATATCTGCAATTTTGTCTCTAGTTATGAACTTCACTGTCTTTTGTAATGAATCCATTGATGCTCAGTCAAAACTTACATGTTCAGTTCTCTATCAACACTAATATGCTCATCAGTCAGTGAATTACCAGCACTGTAATATTCATTAGCAGTTTATCCTACTCAGCTCTTGTGACTGCACACAAGTTTTTGCTCAGCCTCTCTCACCCACACAAACACATTAACAAGCACATGAGCAGCCTTCAGTTTTCTGCTTAGAGATTGTGTTGCGTTTAGAACTTCTTGATATCAGCTCGCCTGCAATCATTCAACTCTATTTCGGAACTCCGCTACGCAGACGACACACTTCTCCTATAATATTGTCCGTCCAAAAGAACCGCGAAGATCAATATCTGTTTTTTAATTTAAAGAAAATGAAAATAATGTCCACATATAAAACTGGCTGTCACTGAAAAATAACAATAAATGATGAAGTAGTTGAAAATGTCACAAACTTTGAATATCTACGCTCTATAGTAAATAGCAATGGAGACTGTTCAACAGAAATTAAAAGGAGGATGGCCATAGCAATGCAAAGATTGAACAGCCTTAAAAGTCTATGGTTAAGCACCAACAAGGAGATTAAAATTATAATTTTGAGAGCATGCAACTTCCCTGTGGCTACATACGGATGTGAGTCGTGGACTATCTCTCAGTCCTTAAGAAAGAGAATAGGGGCTTTTGAGCTGAAATGCTATAAAAAGATTCTCAGAATATCTTAGACAAAGAAGAGGAGAAATATTGAAATCTTAAAAGATCTGAACATCAAGGAAGATTGGCTAATAAACAGCATCCTTTTTATGAAGCTGACATATTTTGGTCATATCAAGCGCCACAACGGATTGGAAAAATTTATAGCAGAAGGCATGGTATCAGGAAGGAGAGGCAGGGGACGGCCGACACGAAGATGGGCACAGGATATAAGTGACTCCTTGAGTATGAAAGTACATGAGGCAGGAGAACTGGCAAGAAACCAAGTTTCTTTCAGGCAGACTGTGATGAGAGCGACGTTCTGCAAAGGACCTGCTACATGATGATGATAATGCAATCGTTCTTAAATACCTCATCATTCAGTATTTGTGTTTTATTATTTTATAGTTTAATACATTGCTGTTTCCCATCACAGGATGCTTTCAGGGCATTCCACAATGACCTTGGTTTTGTCCGCAAGTACATGAAGGCTATCCACATCGGCACTTTGAAGCAGTCCCAGCAGGAGGTGAAGCCCATAGACAAAGACTTCCGGGAGCTGCGGGACATTGCTGAGAAAATGGTGAGCAATTTCTTTTTTCTTTCTGGTTCTCACTGTGTGTATGCTTGTGTAAGCATATATTCATTCGTCTGTTATCAGTCGCAGTTCTAACTTCACACCAGTCTGGTCACCCCAAAATTGCGCCATTCCTGCACCATTGAAAACCACACAAAATGCCTATCACTGTCCCATGTTAAAATTCAAACACAGCAGTCTCAGCAAAATCTAACAGCTCACACAAGCATTAATTGCATAAGGCAGCTACTAGAGATGCCAGCAACTAAGTCTGTCACTAAAACTCATTCATCAGTATCAAAATAAGATAATTGAGAAAATAATGCCCAACATTTTCCTCCACAAACTGTTTGTGCAAAATGTGTAAAATTCATTGACATTATAATCATTATATCCTTTATAAATCATAATTTGGGTCTGATTTTTGTGGACTTCTGTGACTGAACACTGTGAAACATGTACATGTACACCTGACCTTATCAGGTTTTTGCTGTTCATGTAGACATTTCTTTACAGCACGAATAACAACCTCATATCTGTCTTCACTTTCAAAAGCTTAAACCCAGGGACCGACAGTGCTCCTACCAGCTGAACAACTTCCATACTTAGCAATAAAATGTTTATAAAGGTTCACCACAATTTTGTTTTCCGGAACCAGAATTTTTTCTATCAGTTTACTATTTGTAACATACTACATCCTTGCCCTCTTTTTAAACAGATTTATACAACTGTTCTTTTTGTCGGAATCAGTTGCCATTTCGCACATGCAGCATTGATGTTTCACAGTTGAAGTGTGCAACATTTCTTGTTTCTGTCTTCATTATTTGCAGAGGGTAAAAACTTGGGGCATTACTTTCAGAATGTTCCTTATAGATGTACAATCATACATAATCACTGGATTTGCTGACTGGTGTTAGGTGATCATTCTTCGCTGCATCCTGCAGTCTCCATCAGCGCATATCATTTCATGGGGTGACACCCTTCTATACCCTGACAAATGTCTGCTTAAATTCTCCCCCCCCCCCCTTTCTTCCTGTATCCTCATTATCACATTTTCTAGTCTTTTGATTTTCTTGTTAAGTAACCCCTAAAAATTGTGACTGTCTATTTCTGTTTGTTAATAAGTAGTCTTTAAAAAAAATTTTTTGTTTAAACCTCGTGCAAAAAAATTTAGATGATTAATTTAACTGTCCAAAGAATTTTTAGCACTATTCTATAAAACTACATCTAAGAAACCTCAGGGTCTCACCTAAATCCCATGTGATTTAAAGAGATGGTTGATGATTATAAAATCCTTGCTGTTCACATTCTCAATACACACGTGTGGACACTTACGCCAAGATGAAACCATTACTAAGTAGATAACTGTTATAGCAGTAGTTTTCTATGTGATATTTTCTGTGGAATCATTTTGTGTAAGCTCGCATACATTTGCAAGAAATTTATCCTTGCATTGTTTTGTTTCCTAAATAATAGAATTGTCTAGTCTAATTAAGGTGAAATGTACACCACAAGATGTCTGCATAATCAGTCAAAATGTATTCCACAGTCCATGAAAGTATTCCCATTTGAAGTCCTCGTGTACCATTACACATCACATTGAGCTGTCAGTTAATTCTTCCTTTCTGTTGTATCCTGTGCAGTTGTTTCAGTATCATGAATGGAATCCAGTCCAGCACCTTTGACCTCTGGCAGCATTTGTCTTGAGGTTTCTTTTGGACATCCTCAATCCACTAAATTCATTTCCATTATCTTCTTCTTCTTCTTCGTGTTCACCAGCTGTAAACTCTGGCAGAAAGTTCTGGTTGTTTGTCCACTTCTGGACTGCAGTCCTGTTCCAGAACTTGTGTTGTGTGTGCATCCGTTTGACAGATCTGGCTAATTTAATGCAGACTGTTGGTTCATTGCCTCTCAGGCAGATGCACTCCGACTTTGAAGGAAGCTCCCAATTAGTTGATTCTTACAACATGCTTTTGGCTAGGCAGTGGGTCTATTTTTTTTTTTTTTTTTAACAGGGCCCCTGAACCCACACGGGGAATTTCCATTAAAGTGCCTGTCTGGTGATTCTCTGTTCCCTTTTGCACAGGATGTGCTCATTATATAACCATATCATTTAAAATCAGCAGAAGTATAAGAGTTAGCTGTCACACATATCCCCCCACCACCAGTGTTATCTCACCATTTCTGCTCTAGGAAGTCTTTTTTCATCTTGGACGATGGAGTTATTTGTGTTCTAAAGTGTGTTTGCGCATGGCTGGATTCCACAGCTCAGTTTTTTTCCACAGATGGTGTAATCTGTTCTACATCAGCCTTTTGTTGTTGTTTCTTATGACCTGCATGATTGATTATATTCTTCTTCTTCATGGTTACACACTGGTGGTGACAAGAATTATCGCTGGAAAATTTCACCGATTGTTGTTTTCAACATTTCTGTTAAGTTAGCTTGTATGCTTGGGCGATTGTTTGCCCAGTAAATAGCACAGTGTGCAGATTGATGTTTTTGTTGAAAATGCGATGTTACTGTTATATAAATTTTCAGAGTGGTTTTCTTTGCCAGACTTGTTACCTTTCTTGGCCAGACATGATACTTTTCATAGCCAGACATGGTACTTCTTAGCCCAGACATGGTACTTCTTAGCCCAGACATGGTACTTATTAGCCAGACATGGTACTTATTAGCCAGACATGGTACTTTTCTTAGCCAGACATGGTACTTTTCTTAGCCAAACGTAATTTTCTTAGCCAGATGTGGTACTTTTCTTAACCAGATGTGGTACTTTTCTTAGCCAGGTGTGGTACTTTTCTTAGCCAGGCATGGTACTTTTCTTAGCTAGGCGTGGTACTTTTCTTAGCCAGGGATGGTACTTTTCTTAGCCAGGCGTGGTACTTTTCTTAGCCAGGGATGGTACTTTTCTTAGCCAGGCGTGGTACTTTTCTTAGCCAGGCATGGTACTTTTCATAGTCAGGCTTGGTACTTCTTAGCAAGATGAACTATCCAGCATCTTTTCTCTTGGTCTCCCTCTGACTTCACTCTCCCCTCCATCTTTCCCACGATCATGATGTACTCCAGTTTTCACCTCATGATCAAAGAATTTAGATTTTTATATCCACATACAACTATATAAAAACTACAAATAACACCATCATATGCCATGCTGATAAGCATAGGTGGTCATATTTAGCCATTCCAAACGATAACCAAAATCATGGATCGGGTAAGTGTTCATGTCTTGCCTCAACCATATGACTAAGCCATCCAGGTATTTATCTCCTTGCCTTTCCCTTTGCTCTCTTTCCATCAGTCTTGAGCCATTTTTTTCTCATAGCATGTCTAAAAAACACCACCTGTTTAGATCTAATTTTTCTAATCAGTTTATGACTTGCATCTATCTTGAGGATGGCTACCTGGTTTGTTTTTATATCATTCCATGATGATCTTCACATTCTTCTCAAAAACCCACATCTTAGTTGTGAGTAAACATTTTTCAGCTTTTCTACTTATCGTCCATGACCGTCATATAAATAACAACACAGGTTCTCAACATATAACAATTTTTGCCGTGTAGGTTTCGGGGCCCTACTGTGGGGAAAACAAGAATAGACCCAATGTCTACCCAAAAGCATGTCGTAAGAGTAAACTAATTGGGAGCTTCCTTCAAAGTTGGTGTGCATCTGCCTGAGTTGCAAGGAACCAACAGTCTGCATACAAATGAGACAGATCTGTAAAATGCGTGTGCACACAACACTTAGTTTCTGGACCAAGGCTAAAGTCTGGAGGTATATGAATGCCCAGAACTTTCTGCAGGAGTTTGCAGCCAGTAAACGCAAAGAAGAAGATACAACAATTTACTTTTAATTGCTAACATAGTCTATGTCTAACAAAATTCATATCTGACAGTTTATGCCTAAAATGTTGCAACCTCTTACATGGCTGTCTGTATTTTCCTAGGAACTCTTTAAGCCAAGCTTGCTGTTCTTTAGCCTTCACCTGTTTCACATCCTGTTCTTGGACTGGGCAGCTTGGGCAGTCATGTATTACTTTGGTACCAGCTGGGTACCTTTTTTGATTTCATTGATGCTGTTGACTACGGTAGAGGTAAGATATTGTGCTAGATGATTTGATTTGTATTGTTACAGATTGTGTTATGCTACCAATGCCAAACGTGGACACTTACATCCTCCAGTGAACGTAAAATTGTGACATCAGAGATGAAATGCCTTAGAAGAGCTGCAGGAGTTTCAAGGAAAGACAGAATACGAAATCATGAAATCAGAATGCTAGGAATAAAGCCAGTCTTACAGGTCATCAAAGAACAACACATAAAGTGGTTTGGACACCTAACAAGAATGCCCAAGTACTATCTGCCACAGCGAGCCACACTAAAATGTTACAACGGGTATAGAGCGAGTGGAAGACCTCAGAAAAGAGGGAGTGATGGCATTAAGAACAGCCTTACAGAAATGAACATCAGTTTTAATAGTGCTCTTGACAGAGCTCATCAACGTACATAACATCTCCCCCCGACTCTTTGATGAGGTACAAGGTGGAAGAGGAGAAGAAGAAGAGGACAGATTGTGTTGGCTTATTGCTGAATTTAATTAAAATTAAAGTAAAGCACCTTTTCCATGGCTTCAGGTGTATTGGTCAAATAGGACTAGACCTATATTTTATAGACTAATCAGCACTTGGTGAGTGATGTGGACAGCATCACTCTGGCAGTCTTTACTTCCCATTTACTTCCTAGAATACCACCTGGTACCCATTCAAGGCTAGTTTGACCTGGGAACCAAGGCCATTTTTGAAAGAAAAAAGTCTGGTACCACCAGGATCCGAACCCATGACCTTCCGATCTGCGGGCGAGCGTCTAGCCACAGCACCACCATGGCTTCCAAATTATTTTAGTGCTTTGTATAATTTCAATATTTTAATTGCTTATGCATTTATGTAACTCGAAAGCAAAAGTTGAATTATTTCTCAAAAAATATGTATGGGGATGCGTGTTTCATGAGTACCTGAAACTAAAAGTATGTATGGGAGAAAATGTGAAAATGAAGGGATGTAGGCAAGTTAAAAAAAACTTTTTTTTTTTTTAATTAATTATAAAATATATATATGCTGCATATTGAACCAAGCAGGGCAGAACCCCAAAACTGTTAATGAAAATTTTTTCCTAACAGCAGGTGCTGATTTAGTCACTAGAGCAGGATTTTATGGCAGTAACAACTGAGAAGTCACTTTTGCCTTGGAGGGAACCTTATTGTGACGATCCATAACCTGATCATGGAAATGATCTGTTAACCTCCTACTCATTTCCCCAGTATATGCCTTAAAGTCTTTTGAAAGATGCTGACATAAATAAGGTTGAGTGGTTTACAAAACCTGGTCATCAAGCACTGCTTTTATTAATATTTTGGTTTTAGAAATATTTTCATGTTTATTGTAATTGGTCTGTTTCCTGCAGGCTCAGGTAGGATGGATCCAGCACGACTTTGGCCATTTATCTGTGTTCAAGAACACCAAGCTAAACCATGCTTTCCACTACTTCTCTGTGGGGATCATAAAGGTAAACTTCATAGCATCATATATTTTTTCTTGATATTAGAAACATTAAGTGGACAGTTGGTAGGCAGGCCAAACAATTTTTAGAGGCCTCAGAGATGTTGTTTTACAGAAGAATGCTTAGAATACCTTGGAAAGCCAAAAAAGAGCAACCAAGAGGTTTTGAAAGAGGCGGAAGCCCGAAGACAACTTATCACCGACATCAGAAGGAGACAGTCATCATTTTTTGGCTACGTGATGAGAAGAGGGAAAAAAAGAACATCATGTGACCACTGGAAAGATCTGTGGAAGGAGGGATAGAGGAAGACAACGAGAGAAGATGCTTGACAGTCTTGTTGCATGGCATGGAGGTATGTTTGCACACGAACTGATAGATGCTGCAGGAGATCGCAGATTATGGAGAGGCATGATCACCCACGCCAGTCGGCAAGGCATTTGATGATGATGATTAGAAACATCATCCCCCTGCTGTCCTTCTTCATCATCTCTATTGTTCATTTCATCATGATCATTTTGTCTTCATCATATTTGTCTTCTTTGTCTTTTCCTACTTTGCTTCCTTGTTTTTCTTCTCCTCCTTGTAATCCTCATCCACCATCGCTGCTTCCTCCATCTGGTTATTCATCCACCTGCTTTTCCTTCTTTCTGATTCCTCCTCCTTCCACTTTCTCCTCTTTTCCTTCTTATACCTGTTTCTCTTCTATTATAATTTTTCTGTCCTGATGTCTGTGATATAACCCTATGTGTTTATGTATCTCCAGGGTGTGATATAACCCTATGTGTTTGTGTATCTCCAGGGTGTGATATAAGCCTATGTGTTTGTGTATCTCCAGGGTAGGATATAACCCTATGTGTTTATGTATCTCCAGGGTGGGATATAACCCTGTGTGTTTGTGTATCTCCAGGGTGTGATATAACCCTATGTGTTTGTGTATCTCTAGGGTGTGATATAACCCTGTGTGTTTATGTATCTCCAGGGTGGGATATAACCCTGTGTGTTGTGTATCTCCAGGTTGTGATATAACCCTATGTGTTTATGTATCTCCAGGGTGGGATATAACCCTGTGTGTTTGCGTATCTCCAGGCTGTGATATAACCCTATGTGTTTGTGTATCTCCAGGGTGTGATACAACCCTATGTGTTTATCTCCAGGCTGTGATATAACCCTATGTGTTTGTGTATCTCCAGACTGTAATATAACCGTATGTGTTTGTGTATCTCCAGGTTGTGATTTAACCCTATGTGTTTGTGTATCTCCAGGGTGCCTCTCCCTTGTGGTGGAATCACATGCATTACCAGCACCATGCCAAGCCTAACATTGTAAGTTATACATTTTATTTATTTCTGTTTACAGAAACACTGTAAAATAATTTTTAGTATGTCTGCTTTATATTTTCTTTTTACAAATGTTGAATTATTTTCATTTTAGAATTGACATTACAGCACTCTGGACATAAGCTCTCCACCTCCATCTTCAGCAGCAAGCAAAAAGTTAAAATTCCAGTGGTACCAGTGACTGTCTGATAGTAAATCTGTCTCGCCTCTTTCCTGAGCGTTGAGCGTCGACCAGATCCTCTTGTAAACTTCTCGCAGCACCATTCTTTTCTATTTACAGAGAATCTCTTGGATTGCCAGTGTAACTAACGAGGACTGCTTGGCAGAAGCTAATGAAAGCAGATCAATATATATATGGCCAAAAGGAAAAGAAAAGCACTGTTCTTTGGTCATGGGATGATGGAGGAGGCTTTGGGGAAAATTGTGACTACTGGGAAGATCAGCGGTAGAAGCGGCAGACCGAATGAGATGAAGACGAACGTATTGCAAATGTGGAATGGAGAGATTTCTTTGGTGGAACTGACCCAGAGTAAAAGGGGCTGAGATCGGTGAAGATGTGTGAGCGTCTATGCCAGTCAATGGAATACATGATGAGGATGATGCCATAATAATGCTACTATGCCTTCTACATTCATGAGGAATTATCCTGACATTATAATGAGCTCTTCCAGTAAACTTATCTGCACCCATATCATTATATACCCCATATCATTATTTCACATCCACATATCGTTATTAACACCTCTACATAAGGTGACCAAATATCCCGTTTTCAGTGGAACAAATCGACTTTTTTTAATGTTCTCTAAATTTAAAAAAAAAAAATTTGTTTTCCTATTTTATATTTTAAAAACAATAAGAACACAAACTTCTAACTATACCTGTAGACCTTATTAGATTTCATAATTTTAGATATTTTTAAATCCCTAATCGTGTTTGACGACTAATGAAAACTTATGATACACATAATAATTTAATTGGATTATGGTTAGTGTCATGTGTTTAGAATGCTCACAGTTGGGCAGGTCCCTATAGGGAGCTGAACCCCCGTCCATTAGGAAGCTTCGGTCTGAACTTAGTGGGGTCTTTGGAGAGGGAAAGAGGGGGGAGGGGGGGGGGGGGGGTAAACTAACTTGCTTGGGGTATCCCATTTTCAGAATAATATTAGTGAAATGTCCTGTTTTCAGCTGAAAATATTATGGTCACCCTGTCCCTACAGCATTACCAGACTGAATTACCATTACCAGAAAAGCTTTGTCCCATTGTTTTATTAAAAAAAAAAAAAAAAAAAAAGACTATTCCTTTATAAAAATGCCATTATTTTATTGTTCGCAGATGGACAAAGACCCAGATGTCAGAATTGATGCCCTGTTTGTTGTAGGGGAGACCATGCCAGTTAAGGTGGCCAAGGAGCGGAAGAAGAGCATGCCCTACAACTGGCAGAACTACTACTTTTTTCTCCGTGAGTCAGCGTTGTTGTTGTGTGTGTGTGAGAGAGAGAGAGAGAGTCGCGTTGGTGTGAGTCAGTAAGTGTGTGTGTTAATGTGTGTATCAGTCAGTGTTGTTGTCAAGAGTTAGTGTTGGAGTGTGTGTTTGTGAGAAAGAATCAGTGTCGGTGTGTAGTTGTCAGTATTGGCATGTTTTTTTGAGTCAGTCAGTGCTGGTGTGTGTTAGTGATAGTCTGTCAGTACTGATGTGTGTTGGTGATAGTCTTAGTCAGTATTGGTATGTGTTAGTGTTAGTCTGTCAGTATTGGTGTGTGTTAGTCTCAGTCAGTAGTGGTGTGTGTTAGTGTTAGTCTCAGTCAGTAGTGGTGTGTGTTAGTGTTATTCTTAGTCAGTACTGGTGTGTGTTAGTCTGTCAGTATTGGTGTGTGTGTGTTAGTGTAATTCTTAGTCAGTACTGGTGTGTGTTAGTCTGTCAGTATTGGTGTGTGTTAGTCTGTCAGTATTGGTGTTTGTTTGTGTTAGTCTCAGTCAGTATTGGTGTGTGTTAGTGTTATTCTCAGTCAGTACTGGTGTGTGTTAGTCTGTCAGTGTTGGTGTATAGTCTCAGTCAGTATTGGTGTATGTTTGTGTTAGTCTCAGTCAGTATTGGTTATGTTTGTGTTAGTCTGTCAGTATTGGTGTATGTTTGTGTTAGTCTGTCACTATTGGTGTGTGTGTGTGTGTGTTAGTCTCAATATTTGTGTGTGTGTTTGAAAGTTAGTGTATATAAATATATTCTTCTTAAAAATTTTGTGACTGGTGTAAAGTTTTTTTTTTTTTAAAGGATGTTTTGGGGGAAATTCCCACTGGTTTGTGACATTTTATTTTAGTATTCTTCGGATAAAAGTGTTAATCTTTTCATGTCTTTACCAGTTGGACCCCCACTGCTGTTTCCAGTCTACTTCCAGATCATGTTGTTCAAGTTCATCTATTCCAGGAAGGCCTGGATGGTAAGCTTGACTTCATTTATTCACCGATCTTAAGCACATATTATGTATCATCGTCATTGAGTATCTTGCTGACATTCATGGACGATCATGCCTCTCCATAAATTGCAATCTCTAACAGCGCATATCAGTTTGCTGATGATTTCCATGCCATGACACATGGCTTTCATGGATCTTCTTCTGTTTTTCTTTGTTGTCTCTTTCCACAAATTTCGCAGTTGTCACATGTTCCAGTTTCTAGACATAACATGGCCAAAACATGATGACTGCCTTTTTCCAATCTTTTTGATAAGTTGTCTTTGGTTTTGTATATTTTATGACAAGATTACTCACTCTCCCTGTCCTTTCATTTATACATACAGATTTTTAATATAAAGTATTTCTCTTCTGCCCTTCATCGGCCAGTGTAGCACAGGGCCTTTTACCATCCATGCATCTCACCCCATGTCTTTACCATCTTTTTTTTTTAAATTTCATTTATTTCTCTTTTCAGTTAATTTTTTTTGGTGTCTCTCTTATTTTTTATTTGATCATGTGGGTTCCTGTCAGAAAATTCTAGTTGTATTGTTGTTAGGATTTCACAGTGTGTATCCTGTATATCGTCATTATCCTTTCCTCCTCACCTTTTGAATCAGTGGAATTTGTTCTTTCCCAAAACTCTGTAATTATATCAAACCATTTAAATCCCTTTTTTCTGCGGTTTTTGTTTATTAGTAATTGTTTTAGTTGTTATCCATGTTTCAGCTTCATAAAACAGTACGGCTGATTTGACATTAGAGTTGAATTTTTAAAGTTTGATACTGGTTCTAATTTCCTCTCACTTCCATAGATCTGTTTTCCTTTGCATATCATTGCTGTTTTTATTTAGCAGAGCAACATTGTCTTCACAAGATCTTCCATCTGTGTTCTCCACCCAGTCAGTACCAATGTTTCCAAAACATTTTTTTATCACTCAGTCAGTGGTTATGCCAAATAACAGAGGAGATAAAATGCATCCTTGTTTCACTCCAGTATCAACTTCAAACCAGTCATTTAAACCATCATCTATCCACACTGCACACCTTGAACCTTCATAAATTGCCTTAAAAATATTTATTATTTTCATTGGTATGCCATAGCATTCCAGAATTCCCCATAGTGATGTTCTTTGAAAACTATCCAAAGGATTGTTAAATATCTCTTCATTTTAAACATTCTAAAAACCTGTTGTAGTGATTATTTTTGAATCAAGTAGTGTGTGTGTGGCCACTGAGTTCTTTCTGTAGAGCAGCTGCGTCATACATTTACACTGTGCACCGCTTGACACATTTGTTCACAGAAATGGCATCCTTTTCTGCAAGTTTCTGGAGCAGATGATTCTTTACAGGTTTGGGCAGTTTGGCCCAACGATCCACCTTTCTCATCCGGACCCAGGAACTGGCAGTAATGGAGATACACTGCTTTCTTTATATATTTTATAGATCAGTCAGCACTTGATATGTGATGTGGTCTGCATTACTTCCTGGGACATTACCTAGTGCTAATTTCAGGCTGTGTCAACATGATAACCACTGTCATTTAAAAAAAAAAATTTTTTTAAAGAAAATTCAAATTAATGCAGATTTGAAGTTGGGTAGTGGGCAAGTGTTCATCCGCTATACCACTACAACTCCATGTGCCGTCAGCGGCCAGAAATCTTTTTTTTTTTTAAACACTGCATAGAACCTGTTTTAATTTATATTTGTGAATCTTGGACAATTAGTAAACAAGCCAGATAATTTTTTGAGGCCTCAGAGATGGGATTATACAGAAAAATATCCATGTACATACAAAATGAGTAATCTAGATCTTTTGAGAGGTGAAGACCCAAAGACTCTTCACAAACATCAGAAAGGGCTATCAGTTTTGTTGTTGTTGAGAAGAAAGAAACTGGCATATTTTGTGACATCTGGAAAGATATTTGGAAAGAGAGATAGAGGAAGATATGAGGAGGTTCTTGACATTTTCTCATGGTGTCGCAGGGTTTCAATATGCTAACCAGTACATGATGTTGGAGATTGCAGGTTGTAGAGAGGCATGATCACCCACACCAGTCAGCAAGGCACTTGATGATGAGTGACATATCTTCGACACTGTTCATGCTTTGTGTACTGATTTATGGTCTAACACTTATATGATATTATGTGTCACTAATGCTATTTAATGATATTTTCCCCAATGTTATCTGTTTGATACTCTACATGTTCAACATAATGATAGGTATGACTAATGTTATCTGTTTAACACTGATGTTACCTATTGCTAGGACCTCCTGATGGTGATGATCTTCTTTGTGAAGTTCTTCAGTCTGTACACCCCGCTGCTTGGAATCTGGGGAGCCCTTGCCTTCTATTTTAGCTTCAGGTTTGAGATGTCTTTTTATTGAACTTTTCAATGGGAGATTACCATAGCTGTGTGTGTGTGTGTGTGTGTGTGTCATAAAAGTTTGAAAATTAGGGGTGTTTCCTTTAAAGTTGGAGTGTATCTGCCTGCCGAAGAGGTGAAGAATTAACAGTCTGCATACAAAGCCAGATCTGTAAAGCAAATGCATATGCAAAATTAAGTTCTGGAACAAGACTAAAGTCCAAAAGTGGACAAACAACCAGAACTTTCCACCAGAGTTTACAGTTGGTGAACATGAAGAAGAAGAATATCTTTGCCAGCAAAACCAGAGCCCTGAAGTAAGCAGTAAGTAGCATACAACAAACAGAACAAGCAGCCAGGAAGAAAGTTCTGTTCAAGCAAACTGAGAAATACACTGAGGAGTACCAGGCTAAGAAATGCAATGAAATCAGACTTGCTCATATCACAAAGAAGAGTAGGAACTTCTTTTTCCCAGCTGAGCCTAAGTTTGTTTTCATCGTTAGGATCTGAGGTATCGGTGGCATCCAACCAGTGAAAGAAGAGTTCTCCAGCTCTTCAGACTGGTCTCGACACCAGTCACAAGGAAAGAACCCGCTTCTTCCATAGGACGTCATCTACTTAAATTCAGACACATAATTGACACAGACAGTGCTTTCCATATGGTTTACCACACTCCGAACAGGAGACTTTTGAGAATCGGTGAAGCTTTAACAATAAAAATCAACAGCCCCCTCCTTTGTAAGCAGACGGAATTTATCATAAATTTGAAGTTACACTGGTAAGTCACGTGACTACGGTAAGCCTCCGGCGGCCATGAAACAGACACAATGTATCGGAAGAAATTGTTTGCATTTCAGTTGAATTTATCCAGTCTGTGCTTTATTTTATGTTGATGTAACTCTGTAGGAACGCACCTGTTGAGGTAAATTAATTGCCCATTGTTTAAAAAACAAAAGCTTCCAGTCCAGTTTGGCTATGTTGCATCATGATCTGCTTGCACCTTAACGTGGCTGTCTGCAGATGTGAAGTTTCAGAACCAGTCATGCTGATTTTGGAGAAATGAAGAGTTATGCAACACAGCTGTTGTGGAGATCTGCCCGCATGTGTTGTTATAATCAGATTCATCGCACATTGGGCAATCCTGTCAGTGCTCACTATTCTGACGCAGCAGTGATCTGTAATTTCTCCCAAGAGAAGTTGGTTTTATGTCTCCTGTCTTGACATTGAATGTGGCCCAGATGTGCTTCTCTAGGCTTAACCCCTAGGTCACATAATTGTGTCACATCAGAGACGGGTCAGTTTGCATCAGCTAAATTTGCACAGCATTGATGGTGTTAGCTTTGCCCAGCTTCTTCCCACTTTGCGGAGATAGTAATTTGTAATTTTTAGTACATTCTTTGTTTACTAATGTGTGTATTTTTTAATGTTGTATAAATCGTTGTTAGCAGATTTGATCATAATTGCATGTTCTATGCATTGCACAGATGTTTGGAGAGCCACTGGTTTACCTGGGTGGCCCAGTCTAATCACATCCCCATGGACATTGAATTTGATAGTGCCCAGCCCTGGCTGCAGCTGCAACTGAATGCAACCTGCAATGTTGAACAGAACTTCTTTAATGATTGGTTCACTGGCCACCTGAACTTTCAGATAGAGCACCAGTAAGTATTTTACAATATTCATGTCATAAATTCTTTTTCTTCTTCCTCTCTTACTCCTTACTAACCCACTTCTGCTGCTTCTCCTCCCCTTCCTTCTTCTCCTTTTCTTATCATCCAGTTCTGTTTCTCTATTGTTCTGCTTCTTTCACCTTCTGATTCATTCGTCTTCTGCTTCTTTCCTTTTTTTCTTTTCTTTCCTCTCCACCACCCCCTCCTTTTGAGCTGCTTCTGCTGCGGCTGCTTCCATATCTGTTTTGTTAAAATCATCTAACGGAGCATATAAAATTTAACAGGCTAAGGTAGTCAACTCGGAGCTCATCGCTGCCTCTTATGACCAAGTGTTTGTGGAAATGCTCCATATGTTGAATCCTACCTCTGTGTTGTGCCTCGTGTATAGAGATATTTCATGAACAGATCTTAAACATGCGATAGTCTTGTTACATCAGCGTTTTTTTTTTTTTAAATATCCGCAGTTTGTTCCCAACAATGCCTCGACACAATTTGCACAAAATTGCCCCACTGGTGAAGTCACTTTGTGAGAAACATGGCGTCTCATACCAAGTGAAGCCCCTGAGCACGGCATTTGCTGATATTGTTAGGTGAGTTATTACGTCTTGGATGAGTTCTTAGATGTCTGATGACAGTGTTGGGTGAGTTGTTAGGTGTCTGATAACAGCATTAGATGAGTTGTTCACTGTCTGATGACAGTGTTAGGTGAGCTGTTCGGTGTGTGATGACAGTGTTAGGTGAGTTGTTCAGTGTCTGATGACAGTGTTAGGTGAATTGTTCTGTGTGTGATGACAGTGTTAGTTGAGTTGTTCGGTGTGTGATGACAGTGTTAGGTGAGTTGTTCGGTGTGTGATGACAGTGTTAGGTGAGCTGTTCGGTGTGTGATGACAGTATTAGGTGAGTTGTTCACTGTCTGATGACAGTGTTAGGTGAGTTGTTCAGTGTCTGATGACAGTGTTAGGTGAGTTGTTCAGTGTCTGATGACAGTGTTAGGTGAGTTGTTCAGTGTGTGATGAAAGTGTTAGGTGAGTTGTTCAGTGTCTGATGACAGTGTTAGGTGAGCTGTTCAGTGTCTGATGACAGTGTTAGGTGAGTTGTTCAGTGTGTGATGAAAGTGTTAGGTGAGTTGTTCAGTGTGTGATGAAAGTGTTAGGTGAGTTGTTCACTGTCTGATAACAGTGTTAGGTGAGTTGTTCAGTGTGTGATGAAAGTGTTAGGTGAGTTGTTAGGTGAGCTGTTCAGTGTCTGATGACAGTGTGAGCTGTTCAGTGTCTGATGACAGTGTTAGGTGTGTTGTTCACTGTCTGATGACAGTGTTAGGTGAGCTGTTCGGTGTGTGATGACAGTGTTAGGTGAGCTGTTCAGTGTGTGATGACAGTGTTAGGTGAGTTGTTCAGTGTGTGATGACAGTGTTAGGTGAGTTGTTCAGTGTCTGATGACAGTGTTAGGTGAGCTGTTCGGTGTGTGATGACAGTGTTAGGTGAGTTGTTCACTGTCTGATGACAGTGTTAGGTGAGTTGTTCAGTGTGTGATGACAGTGTTAGGTGAGTTGTTCAGTGTGTGATGAAAGTGTTAGGTAAGTTGTTCAGTGTCTGATGACAGTGTTAGGTGAGCTGTTCAGTGTCTGATGACAGTGTTAGGTGAGCTGTTCAGAGTCTGATGACAGTGTTAGGTGAGTTGTTCAGTGTGTGATGAAAGTGTTAGGTGAGTTGTTCAGTGTCTGATGACAGTGTTAGGTGAGTTGTTCAGTGTGTGATGAAAGTGTTAGGTGAGTTGTTCAATGTCTGATGACAGTGTTAGGTGAGCTGTTCAGTGTGTGATGACAGTGTTAGGTGAGCTGTTTAGTGTGTGATGACAGTGTTAGGTGAGTTGTTCAGTGTGTGATGACAGTGTTAGGTGAGTTGTTCAGTGTCTGATGACAGTGTTAGGTGAGCTGTTCAGTGTCTGATGACAGTGTTAGGTGAGCTGTTCAGTGTCTGATAACAGTGCTAGGTGAGTTGTTCAGTGTCTGATAACAGTGCTAGGTGAGTTGTTCAATGTCTGATGACAGTGTTGGTTGTTAGGTGTCTGATAAGTGTTGGGGGAGTTGTCACATCTTTGATGACAGTGTTGGGTGAGCTGTCACATCTTTGATGATGAAAGTGTTGGGGGAGTTGCTACATCTTTGATGACAGTGTTAGGTGAGTTGTCACATCTTTGATGACAATGTTGGGGGAGTTGCTACATCTTTGATGACAGTGTTAGGTGAGTTGTCACATCTTTGATGACTGTGTTAGGTGAGTTGTCACATCTTTGATGACAGTGTTAGGTGAGTTGTCACATCTTTGATGACAGTGTTGAGTTGTTACATCTTTGATGACAGTGTTTGGTGAGCTGTTACATCTTTGATGACTGTGTTGGTTGTTAGGTGTCTGATAAGTGTTAGGTGAGTTGTCACATCTTTGATGACAGTGCTGGGTGAGCTGTTACATCTTTGATGACAGTGTTAGGTGAGTTGTCACATCTTTGATGACAGTGTTGAGTTGTTACATCTTTGATGACAGTGTTTGGTGAGCTGTTACATCTTTGATGACAGTGTTGGGGAAGTTGCTACATCTTTGATGACAGTGCTGGGTGAGCTGTTACATCTTTGATGACATTGTTGAAGTTGGTGAATTGTTACATACTTGATAACAGTGTTAGATAAGCTGATTCATCCTTGATGACAGTGTCAGGTAACTTGAGTCATCATTCCATGAACCGGCCAGCACGTAAGGTTGATGTGTGTCTGCAATGCTGAGTACTTTTACACATATATTTAAAGGTGTGCATTTGTCAGCCATGCCTTTGTATTTTTTAATTTACACTTATACTGCAAATTTTGAAATATGAACATATTTAATATTCAAAATGCAAATGCCATATAAAAGATGAATGCTTGGAAGGGCTGAATGTAATGTGGAACTGAATGCCCAATTTATGAACTTTTGGAAACAGAGTTCGTTTGTTCGTTCATTTGCAAATAAGTATACCATAGAAAATATATTATACTACAGAAAAATAGTGCAGCACCGAACCTTAATGGCTCAGAATTCTGAAAAAGAATGAACAAACTCCATTTTTAAAGGTCACATATTGGGCACGCATGTCCATCTTATATTTGACCCATATAAACACATTTTCACACAGCATTTGTATTTTCTGTGAATCTTGTTATCTTCATTTAGAAAAAATATTGACCAAGTTATTTTGAACTACCTCACCTAAACACCCAATTCTTGTCTTTCTCCTGCAGGTCCCTGAAACACTCTGGAGAGCTCTGGTACTCTACCTATCAGGCCTACCATGCGACCACCTCTTGATGTGTCTTAATTTATGTCTGTGAAATGTGAAGGGGATCATAGTATGCGATGCAGTTTTATTTTGTCAAGGAGAAGCCAACAAGATCACGACTTAGATATGGAAATAGTCTGGCTGTAGTTATTTAGTTGTTCCTTACTGTCCACTCCCTATCCATGTAAATAGCAGTTACGGAGCAGACTGTTGTTAACAAAGACTTAATTTCTAGGGTAACTTTTTTTTTAAAAATAAATCTTACACAGTATTGTTTATGGTAATATCAAGTGTTGTGTGTTGATGGTTGACATGAGCAAATCTACATTACAAAATTAATTACCTATGTATTATCATTAGGAAACAAAATTATACATTTATTACATTTATTTCAAAAAATTCTAATCGTTACTAGGATAGAATAATTTTTCATCATCACTAGCAAAGAATTAGCTGTATCTGTATTGTCACTGGTAACAATTTTATTATTTTCATTGTTATAGCTAAGAACTGATTTAGATGGTGTAATGCTGACCACATTACCCATCCAGTGTCGATTTGTCTGTAAAAATATGGGACGCTCTTCTCATATACCCGATGCGCCTAAGGCGTGAAAAGGGATCTTTACTTACTGATTTAGATATATTTGATTGTTAGGAAAAAGAATTACGTTTTGCATCCTTACTAGCAAATTGATAATCTTTTGATTGTTACTGGCAAATCATTGTTTAAATCTTGATTACCTTTGTATCATTACCAGTAGAGAATTAACTGCCTTGAGATGATTACTGGCAAATAATTGACTTTGTTTGCATTGTTAATAGCAAATTTATTTTGATAAATAGTGTCTTTTCATGTTCATTTTCAAAGTTTATTGTATATTTCAGTAAAGGTTAGGATATGGAAGCATGCATTTTAACACTTTTTGTCTTGTTTTTTTTCTTTGAGTGTTTTTTGTTGTTGCTACATGCAGACTGACATACAAATTGCATTTCTTCCCAACAGTTCACTTGTTCTATTGTTCTGGTTTAATGTAAGCATTTATTCTAAACACTTTGTGAAGAATGAAATGTTTTCTTTGTTGTGTATTTATTCTTACCAACCGCTTTTTGTTTATTGTTGCATGTTTTCAAAAAGAATGAATGGGAAAAGTATATCTTTTTGTGTGAAAACTTAAGATAGCCCAGTGACCGTTTTAGATATGATTGAACTGTGCTGCATACATAATGATGTGTACAGTGATTGTATGACAGTAATTATAACAAGACAGTAGTGTCACAAAAAAGTTGAATAATAGCAGTTACACCTTGTTTTCCCCCAAAATAAGACGAGCACTCAGTTAACCTTGTCTCTAAAAGATGCCTTAATGCTTATTTTCAAGGAATGTCTTATTTTTGCATGTGCAAGAATCTATATGTATTGAAGTTCACAAATATATTTATTCAAACATAAAAGTCTAAATTTATTCAGGTATTTATATGAGGTACATTCATAACTTCATAATTAAATATATACGTACATATATGTCACAGAAGAATGAAATTCATCCATCTGGCTGACAAGCGTAACTAAGGCTTATATTTGAGGTAGGGCTTATATTACAAGCATCCGGAAAAGTCAAATAAGGGCTTTTTTTCTTTAGATTTGATCTTTTTTTGGGGGAACATGGTAGAAGCCTATGTTGGTATAGATTAGTGTATAACTTGAAATGTTGAAGGGGAAGAGAGGCAGGAGGAGACTAAGAGATATGCTGGTGGTTTGGCATCATGGTGTGCAGTAAGATCTATAACAGAAATGATTGACAGCTTAAATGTTCTGTCTAGGGAAAAAGGCATATGAAGACCAGGAGGCATGCTTATTTGGCAGGATGAAGGGAATAACAGTATAAGACATGATTAACAGTATATGAGACAGAAGGCTGTGAATATACATGACGACCAACACCACTTGGCATGGACTAAGAAGATGGATACAGTGCTTAGAATCAAAACAAATTATTCATTATTTAATATTTTCATAGATAGTGGATATATTGTAGCCGACCTCCATTGTGGAAACGGCACCATTAAAAAAATATGGCAGTATTATAATAAAGAATCAAAGAAATATAGTTTACAGTGTGCAAAGTTGTTTTCACATTTACAGATAATTTTTGTTGGTACTTAAATATGTTTCCCGTTGCAAAAATGTGTGTTTGTTTGGGGAGCCATAGTATTGCAGTGACTTTGCCTGCTGACTAGAAGGGCTTGGGTTTGAATCCACAGTAAGACTTTTCTTGTCCAAAATTGATGCTGGCTTGCAGATCGGCCAAACCTGAAATGGGTATCAGGTAAAATCCTGGAAAGTAAAGGCAGCCAGCCAGTGCCAACTGGTGTATAAAATATAGGTGTAGAATTATATGCCCAAAATGAATAAGGGCGTGGGAAGAAGAGGTACTTTCTATTTAGCATCACATACCCTATGCTCACTGCTGTAGAAAGTCCTTTGCTTACTGTACTTTTGTGTCTGTCTGGAAACAGTTTGTAAATGTGCAGTCACACTGACTATAATACAGTAATGTGTAACTTGAAAGCTTCACAGAAGAAAGACATAAAAAAAAAAGAGAAAGAAACTCTTGACCAGTGTCTTTTTAGTTTTTTTTTTTTTTAGTGAACATGCTCCTTTTGTTTTAACTCCTGGTTCAGTATCAGAGCGACATTGTAGGGCAGACTGATAGGCTGCTGATGCCACCACTCTGAGTGGTGCGAAGACTGGGAGATAGGCTGCTACCACTCCTGAGTGGTGTGACATTTGGGAGATTAGCTGCAGTCACTGATGGGAGTGGTGTGAAAACTGGGAGATTGGCTGCTGCCGCTGCTGTGAGTGGTGTGAAAACTGGGAGATAGGCTGCTACCACTCCTGAGTGGTGTGACAACTGGGAGATTGCCTGCTTTTCTGAGTGGTGCCAAGACTGGAAGATTGACTGCTGCCCCTTGTCTGAGTGGTGTGAAAACTGGGAGATTGCCTGCTTTTCTGAGTGGTGCCAAGACTGGAAGATTTACTTATGCTACTTCTCTGAGTGTTGTGAAAACTGGGAGATTGGCTGCTGCCACTCCTCTAAGTGGTGTAAAGACTGGTAGACTGGTTGCAACCACTGCTGTGAATGGTACTAAAACTGGGAGATTGGCTGCTACCACTCCTCTGAATGTTGCAAAGACCGGGAGATTGGCTGCTACCACACTTCTGAGTGGTGCAAAGATATTTACTTCTGCCGCTCCTCTGAGTGGTGTGAAAACTGGGAGATTGACTGCTGCCACTCCTCCAAGTGGTGTGAAGACTGGGAGATTGACTGCTACCACTCCTCTGAGTGTTGTGAAGACTGGGAGATTGACTGCTGCCACTCCTGAGTGGTGTGAAGACGGGTAGATTGGCTGCTATCACTGCTCTGAGTGGTGCAAAGACTGGGAGATTGGCTGCTACCACTGCTCTAGGTTAAGTTCTGGAAAGTAAAGGTGACCATATCACCCATTTAGTGCCAGATAAGTAAAGTATTTATATGTCTGACGTGCCACTGGCGGAAAATGGTCCTTTATTATCTTGTATTACTCACCCACTTAAGACAATCTCTTAACCTTCCCCATATGGGTTCGGACCCCCATAAAAAAGACCCGCTGCCCGACTAATTAAGGGTTTCTTCCGAAGACAGAGCACTTTTGCCTGACAGGCAAGGAACCAACAGTCTGCATACAAATAAGCCATATTAGTGCACGCAAAACTGAAGTTGTGGAACAAGACTTAAGTCCAGAAGTGGAGGAACAATAGCAACAACGGCCGGTAAACACAAAGCAGAAACAGATTTCCTAATTCTCTCTACTTCTTTCTATGAGTGCCCTTTGTTAATTTTATATATATATATATATATATATATATATGTTTATATATGTATATGGTTATATATATATACATACATTTATATTTATATTTCTACAGCTTCAAGGGTTCCCCCTCCATTTATTTATGGCAATGACGTGTAACACAATGGAACCTGCCAATAAAATCTCGTCTTTTTTTTAAATTATGAAATTTCCAGAAGCCATGAGTTGTTAACCCTTTGGATCGCTACTATTGATATCGCAACCCTTCGGCCTTAATTCTATGATAGATAACGTAAATCTGGGAGCAATGTGACTTTTCTGCCGACCCCCGGACCACAAGAAGTTCGCCACCCGGTCGCCGCGCAGTCAGGTTTAATCATCTGAGCTAGTGAGCCGGGCAATCTCTTTCCTAAATGTTTGTGTATTCTATACAAAGCATTATTGTCAGCTGTGCTTGGTAGTTATTGCTGTGTTTGTTATTCGACTCATGCTTCGTTAATACAAATTTCTGTAAAAGGTGCCATTTAAATAGTTTGGAAATAAATTCTGTCCGTATTCCATAGTTGTGGGTTTCAGGCTGTATGATAGACATGCCAACGAAGCCACCCTTTGGTGGGGGGGGGGGGGGGGGAGTGCATAGTTGGTTGTGTTTTTAGTACCCTTATTTTCATGGCGATTTTTATGTTGTCTAGTGTGTTCTTCTATCTCTCTACTTCTTTCTATGACTATGAGTGCCTATCAATACGTCTATCTTCTATCTTCTTTTACCCCACCAGGACATCACACATGCGATAAACACCAGATGACACAATGTGCCACCATGCGAATGAGAATCACCCGTGGAGAGGTTCTAAAAACCACGTTCAGCCATTAGACCATATTTATGGCCGGGCTATATTGCGGCCCTGGCAAGAGCCAGAGTAGGGCTTCAAATAACGAAAAATTGCATCTCACAAGGAGACGACTGGATAAGCAATACGTTTTTGTTAGTTATATATATTCCTAATTTTGGTGATCATTTGGGAACGAAAAGCGGTGAAGATGGTAATCATTGTCCCCATTTGGAGAAAAATAAAGGGGGACAAACTAGACTAAAACATACAGGGACATCACCATTTTGAGCTATATTGGGGGGAAAAAAATCTACACAGGTGGATCCGTTACACGCAAAAAGA